GCCACAACTAGCTGGCAGTATACGGCAGCCTTTAAGCCAGAAAAAAGTGGCTTAGATCTTAATTCTTGGAAAAAAAATATTAGAATTCAGATCTCAGTCACAATATTGATTTAAACAATGCAATTAGATATTGTCCCCAAATTATTCAGGCCTTCTTTCTTTTGAACAGTGAGCAAAAAAGGCTAATATGTGAAAATAATCGTTGTTTGCAACCAAGACAATCAGCTACAAATAGCGATATCTATATCAGTCACTGGGATTCAACTCAACATGCCATTTCGGAGCCAGTAGAACACAAATGATGGGTAAAGTGGATAATCCTGTTTATAATAGATGCCTTAAAAGATGTCTGCTACATTTCATACACATTGACCTTTTGACCTTGCAATAGTAAGCAAAGGAGTTTTAACAATAAGTCAAAATATATAGAAGACAGTACAATGTTTGGATGTGATTGGAATTTGCAGTAGTTGTTGTACGCAATGAGCTAAATAATTCACAGCAATTAGCTCTGTGTTCTAGACTCAGTTCACAACAGAATGCATTAAAATTGTCTTATTATTTTCAGTTTTCTCTAGGAATGATGCTGCAAGATTGGTTTATGAACTTCTCACCTTTTTCACTGCTCATGAGTTTTCATATCTGAACACTGCTGATGTTATGTGGACCAGCATCTTGGAAAAGACCAAACACACACAAACACTTACACACACATGTCTATATATATACACTCGCACACATGATCAGCAACTCTCTGGTCTAGCAACAGAACCCCCCTTCCGTACTGGAAAAGCACAGCAGCTGACAGTGGTGTCTTTCTCAGCCAATCAGAGCGCTCTCTCGCACTAGTTACTGCTCAAACTCTGAGTGCTCTGTAGAATATCTGCCTCACAACAAGCCTCTCTCTCTCTCTTTCTCTCTCTGTCTCTCTCACTCTCTCTCTCTCTCTCTCTCTCTCTCTCTCCCGCTGTGTAGGCTGAGCAGAAAGCCTGTGCGTGCTCTATGTGACAGGCCGCATTAGAAGCTACAGATTCAGACAGGCACAGCGAGGGCAGCCCGGGGGCCTACAGCCAACCCTGCTTCCTCTCATGCTTACTCAGATATTCCTCCCTCAAACAGAGAGCCAAAACAGAGAGAGAAAGAGAGGGAGGGAGCAAGTGAATGAGTAAGTGAATGAGTGAGCGAGGGCAGGTCTGTGCTAAACATGAACTTCTCTCTCTACTGGAGATGAAGATAGAGAGCACTATGATGGAGATATAGAGCAGTGATGATGGAGACGTAGAGCAGTGATGATGGAGACATAGAGCAGTGATGATAGAGACAGCTGTGATAATGAAGATATACAGCAATTTTAACAGAGATATAGAGCAATGATGATGGAGATATAGAGCGTGAAAATGGGGGTATAGAGCAGTGATGATGGAGACAGAGCAGTGACGATGGAGACAGCTGCGATAATGTAGATATACAGCAGTTATAACAAATATAGAGCAGTGATGATGGAGACAGCTGTGATAATGAAGATATACAGCAGTTATAACAGATATAGAGCAGTGATGATGGAGATACAGAACAGTGAAAATAGGGATATAGAGCAGTGATGATGGAGACAGCTGTGATAATGAAGATATACAGCAGTTATAACAGATATAGAGCAGTGATGATGGAGACAGCTGCGATAATGAAGATATACAGCAGTTATAACAAAGATATAGAGCAGTGATTATGGAGATACAGAACAGTGAAAATAGGGATATAGAGCAGTAATGATTGAATCATAGAGTAATGATGGTGGAGACAGAGCAGTGGTGATAGAGACAGTTGTGATAATGAAGATATACAGCAATTATAACAGAGATATAGCAGTGATATGGAGATATAGAGCAGTGATGATGGAGACAGCTGTGATAATGAAGATATACAGCAGTTATAACATAGAACAGTGATGTTGTAGATATAGAGCAGTGATGATGGAGACAGCTGCGATAATGAAGATATACAGCAGTTATAACAGATATAGAGCAGTGATTATGGAGATACAGAGGAGTGAAAATAGGGATATAGAGCAGTAATGATGGAGACAGAGCAGTGGTGATAGAGACAGTTGTGATAATGAAGATATACAGCAATTGTAACAGAGATATAGCAGTGATGATGGAGATATAGAGCAGTGATGATGGAGACAGAATAGTGAAAATGGGGATATAGAGCAATAATGATGGAGATGTAGAGCAGTGATGATGGAAATATAGAACAGTGCTGATGTAGATATAGAACAGTGATAATGAAGACTTAGAGCAGTGATGATGTAGATATAGAACAGTGATATTGAAGACTTAGAGCAGTGATGATGGAGATGATAATATATAGCAGCGCTAATGGAGATATAGAGCACTGATGATAGGTATAGACCAGGGACAATGGAGATATAGTGCAGTGATAATGGAGATGATAATATGTAGCAGCGCTGATGGAGATATAGAGCTGTGGCGATGAAGAAATAGAGCAGTGATGATAGATATAGACCAGGGACAATGGAGATATAGTGCAGTGATGATGGAGATGGTGGCACTGATTCACATATAGATCAGTGGTGGAGATAGAATAGTGATCGTAGATGTTAGAGCAGGTTTGATGGAGATGTAGAGCAGTGATGATAGACATATACAGCAGTGATGATGGAGCTATAGAGGAGTGATGGTAGATAAAGAGCAGTGATAGATACAGAACAGTGATAATGGAGATGGTAGCAGTGATGGTTGACCTATAGAGCAGTGATAATGGAGATGGTAGCAGTGATGACTGAGACGGAGCAGTGATAATGGTGATATTGAGGAGTGATTAAGGAGATAAAGAGCAATGATGATAGCGATAGTGATGGTGTAGGTGTGGTGTACTTCTACAATTACAATAAATGTAATCTAATCTAGACTGAGGATGAAGATGTGGAGCAGTAATGCATATTATCTCAGATCCAGCTGTGGGTTCAATGTTTAATTAACCAGCTCTGCTTCCTCATCTCCCTACATAATGAAATCTCTAAAAAAGGATAATTGCTCTGACAGAGTTTGAGGGAAAAATGCATTTCAGACATTTCAGACTTACTTCTCAAAATCATAAGCATAACTTTAGATTTACACATTCTCCGATTTGCTAGTCTTCAGTGAGATTTTCCAAGCGGAAACTGCTACGTGAAAATGTCATTGTATCTGTGCTGTGTATCTGAATAAACCACACCCATGTAGAATGAGCTAGTACTGTTAGCTGATATAGCTACTTTACAGCTCCAGCCTATTTCATAGTTTATTTGCTATTTCTAACCACTACAAGTACAGGCACAAGGGGGTTCTTTCTTGCCCCTAAACAGCAAGCAATGTCTTAAGTTCTTTGTTTAATTAAAAGGACATTTCTCCGTTGGATAGAAATGTCCGTCTGTTTGAGCTTCCAAAGCAGTGTTGTTTATGTAATGAGCGTGTCTTTCTCTCTGACCCTGTTCGAATACATGCATAGCTGTCAGAATCAGTCTGGATCTCGAGTATATGAGTAATCTGGCCTACATTTGTGTGCTGTTGCTCTTATTTTAATTCCTCACGCAGCCTAAAGTTGTTGAAGTAGCATCAAAGTTACAGCCTAGTACAAGTGCTTGGGAAAGAGCTCAGCGTAGGTGCCTAAAGCTGTTTGGCTTCCGTGTGGGTGAATGAGGCACCGCTGTTCAGCACCTCTCTGTAGAGCGCGTGGTGACTCACACACTGGGGGTTCACTCAGTGATGCTGTGTTTCTGAGATTCTGACCCTCGATGCCTGGGATTTTAGGTCAGAGAAAAGTTCTAAATTTCACTGTATATTGTCCTGCATGTGTGAATGATTCAGTTAGAATTGGGACTTTGGGGGGTTTCACAGTAAATAGTGAATGACAAATCACATGATGCAGATATCTTCCTCTGAGCATCATGGTTATGTAAAGGCATTAATCATCACCTTCAAGGAACAGTTTGGTGAAAAAAATTGAAGTTATACAATTTTCCCAAATGTATTGAGTACAAGGCATGTTTGGTGTCTGAAGGAGGGGAGGCAGTAGTATTGAATGATATAGACTGGTACGCCACAAAAACACAGATAATGCAATGTACAAACAAGGGAATGACATATATAGAATAACAGCCAGTCTCTTGAGGTGACCTTTAGCATAGGGTTAGCATAGCAGTCCACTAGCTGTGCTTCTGTTTTTTCTGTTTCCGCCTCCGGTGGTCAGCTGAACCAGACACAGACAACAACGTGGTCTCGGTGCCTTGCATAAAGTCGAGAATCTGCAGATCAATGTCTGCTACTGAAAGCGTGGATGACTGTAATATTTACTAAACTCCAGCAGAGTCTGTCGCTCTGAGATGTGAGCACAAAAGTGTGGGAGGCACGTATTAGACATTCCACATGAAGCGTTTTTGCCCACAGAAGCCGCTGCATGCTTATGTGTCGCCAACACTGGTTTATTTGTCTCTAGTTTAGTTCTGGTTTTACTGTTTTTCTTAATAAATATTACATCTTAAATGTACTTCATCAAAAGTGAAAGGGCATTTCAGAATAATAAGCCACTATGTTTTTTCTAAATCGCTTATCCTTCTGGGTCATGTGGGGTAGTCATTGGGTGGAAGGCAGAAAACACCCCAGACAGGTCGCCAGTCCATCACAGGGCTAATGAAAAAATACATTATTAAAAAATTATGTTTTATTTATATTACAATAAAACCATTTTAAATGTTTTTTATTCAGCAAATAAATGCCATTCAGATAATGTCTTCTATTTGTTCATAGAACAGTGCTTCATTTAATGTTTAAGAAGTGAAACTGTATAAATATTAGGATTCATAGGTGTCGTTTAGGTTAGATATTAGATAGATGTTAGTATTGGTATCAATACTCGATATTAGGAGATATCGATATTTGAAGGAAAAAAGTGGTATCGGTGCATCCCTACTTAATATCCTCTCTGTCTTGCCTGCACAGGTAACTGAGGCGGGGCCAAGCGGTGGGAAAACCCCCTCCCCCTGCCTCTCATTGGTCTTCTATACCATGAGCTCTGGCTCCGCCCAGGATGTGGCGGTGGAGCATTTCCTGCGTGACATAGAGAGGCGGGGCCAGCGGCTGCACTGCGCTGTGATTGGCTGCGAAGAGGAGCCTCTCCGTGGCGACATGAACCTACTGTACCGCAAGAGCCGACTGGACTGGCGACATCGAGATCAGGAGGGCAAGAAGAGGTGAGAGAGAGAAGTAGATTCAGAGAGAAAGCAAGCACAGCAAAGAAAATGCAAAGAAACGAGAACAGAAGACATTAGCCTGGAGAGAAAGAGGAAGCCAGAGAACATGACTGACGTCATTTCAGTTCAATCTTGAATTTCTAAGCCAAAATAAAGACTTTTGTCTTTCATATTTCATGCGAAATCGTACTCTTGCACTCAGGAGAGAGAGGGAGAGGAAAAGAGAGAAGGAAGAAAGAGTAGGAGTATGGCCTATATTCCAGGGACAATCTGGCCCTCTGGTGTCCCAGTAGATCACAAACACACATGCACATACACGCACACACACACACACACACACAGGCACGGTAAAACAAATGCTTGCTTTCACTCACACACACACACACACAGTCCCTTACACACACATTTACCCAATGCACAAGCAGAGAGATACAGACTGTAAAAGCACGCTATTGCTCACTTCTATGCACTGCATCCTTTGCTTGTTCTCTCAGCCTCATGTTTTTCAGGAGGAGGCTATCAGCAGAGGTTAGTGATCAAAATATCGCTGTTGTCGGAGCAAAACCTTGTGTCTCTAAAATGAGAACTTTACAGGATAAGGAAAAAACATACTTTACTTTGCATGTAAGTCAATGGAACCAGACTTATTTCCAAGTAATTTGGGGTAATTTCTGTTGGTCCATTCTTCATGAAATGTACACACTGTGTAAAGGACAAGGTGTACTTATAATTATGTCAAAAACTGAAAAATGACAAATATGGAGATACAAGGTTTTGTTCCAACAGCAGCGATATACAAAATATCAAATAGGCTAACAATATTGTGATATCGCTGATATGTATCTGCCTCAGTGACAAGTTCAAATGCACTGTCTGCGGCCTTACGGTACGCAAAAGGAAAGGTTTCCTGTAATCTGTGTTTTCTTTTAAGCATGTATTTCATGTCCTCTGTCACTCATGATACATTGTCTGACTTCAAAATGTTCTACAGCAGTGTGAGGCCACACTTTTTTTCACTATGTTCTATGTTAAACAGATAATGCATTCCGCTCATGGAACATCTTTCCTTGTGATACATGACAGTCGCTTTAACTGACAGTTAAAAAATAAACTAAAATTTCACATAGCCCAGCTTAATAACATTAGCAGGCTGTAAATAGTCTAAACTTTTGCCATTTTATTATTATAACAAGAAACAATTTATAGGCTGTAAAAATATGACTTTTACCAAACCATACCAAACAAGGTTAGCATCACAAGTTAGCAAGTTTTGGACCAAGCATGTTTATTTTCTCTGGTTTAAAGAATCTTCTCTGTGGTGTTACCACATTTGCTGTGCTGAAACTGGAGAAACGTGCCATGAACCTTCTTTTGTGAGTGAAGTGCTGGAAATGAAGAGCAGTTGATTCTGCATTCTCAGTAGTTTTGTTCATTAGTTCTACACTGTTAAAATTGAGAGGTCAGCTCATTTCAAAATGATACAGTAACTGATTTCATGGCTTTTCTTGAATTGACACAACTTGAGGACACAAGAGTTCACACAACTCAAACTTCTTAGCTGAGTCGAAAGTTCTCTTAATTTTTTAGTTCTGCATCTCAGTTAGGTAAATAAAATGGACTTGTTTTTTATACTTAACTTCCCCACTCGCCAGGACTCTTTCCACCGTACAATCATGCTAGACATTTTTCCTACTCACAGAGGGCATTGCTGGGGCTCAAACTCACAACCTCCTATTGGGGTGACAGCTTAGTCCACTGCACCACTCAGGAACCCATGAAGCAACTCAGATTTTGTGTCTACTAATGTTTAATACACTGGAGAGAATAGCTGTTGTTTTAACTTTAAAGCATGGCATACTCTCGTGCGGTGCAACAATCTAATAATTCATCCCAACATCAGGAGATTGTCAGTTTAAATCACAGCAATACCACAGCCGTCCATATCCAGAGGCCCAAAAGGGAAAATGCCAGATGGGACTGTGTGATAGAAGGAGCGCCAGCTAGTGGGGAAATTGAATAAAAAACGCAAATTCAGTTTTGTTTATCTAACTGAAATGCAGACCTAGAAACAGTAGCTGGGAGAATTTTTGACTCAACTAAGAAGTTTGAGTTTGGTGAACTCAAGAAAGCCACATAATCAGTTACTATATTGTTTTAAGTTGAGCAGACTTGAAATTTTTTACAGTGTGTTCATTTCTTAATTTTGAACCGTTGTATCTACCACTGTGTCATGAATGAATCAGGCACATGGCTGACCCACAGGCTGGACCTGAGACCCATGATGTAGAGAAAGGACTGTTGAAGGTTTTGTTGATATTCAGTGTTATCAAATGTTCAGTTCTAATTACCTCTGATGGAGGCATCGCACTCGGCTTGTCTTGGCATCAAGTCCACCTTACCTCAACACCAAGTCTAAACGATATCGAGACGGAGACGAGACCAAGATGGTTAATTTACTCTTAGTCTTGAGCCCAGAACTGGACTTGAGTCCTCTCTAACAGTTACTGTGTATTTGCTGAATTTAACCTAGAACATAAAATGTGACCTGTTCTAAACTTACGGCACATTTTAAATTTTGTAGTTTTTTCCAATATGTTAAATTCGCCATATTTAAGTTTATTCATAGACAAAGCGTAACTTGATAGAGAGTGTTTAAACTTTTGTGTGAGATTATGGCATTATACAAAACCTTTTGTGATGTCATTTAAAGGCATTCATTGACCACCTTGGACGTCAGCATATGGTTGTATTGTGTTAGGAGACTGTATGACTGTAGGCGAGAAATAGGACTACTTGATGGTGTTTCTGCTTTAAGCTAGAAGGTTAGACACTGTTGTGACTTGTTGGTGAGTTTTTACCTTCTGAGGATGTGCACAGGTTAGATCCCACCATCTGCACTGTTTATATGTGTGTTTGAGCAAAAGAGTGAGAGAGCATTCAGCTGTGTGTGCGTGTGCATTGGGAGATGTTCTGGATTCATGACACATACAGAGCTCACATCACATCCTGACCTCAAAAAAACAGACCTGCTTTTAGCCGCCTCTGGTTAAAACTACACACACACACACACACACACACACACACACACACGGTAAACTCCTAAATGAGCTCTTTGATGCAGAGCATCTTCTCTACCACATAAACCCGTTCACCCCTTTTTACCTTACCTCACTATCTTCACTCTCTCTCTCTTTTCCTCTCTCTCCCTCCCTCTCTCTGCTCTTTCTTTTTCCCTCTCTCAAGCTCTCTCTCTCTCTTCCTCTTCTCTCCTTTTCTCTCCCCCTCTTCCTCTCTCTCGTTCCTTTCTGTTTCTCTCCTCTTGCTCCTCTCACTCTTTCTCTCTTCCTTTTTTCTTTCACTCTCTCTCTCTCTCCCTCTCTTTCTCTCTCTTTCTCACTCTTTCTCTCTCCTTCTCTCTCTCTCTCTCTCTCTCTCTCCTTCTCTGTCTCTCTATCTCTCTCTCTCTATACAGGAAACAGGCTGTTCACTCTCTCTGCCTCCCACTCTTTCACTACCATCTTCCTCCATCCTGCTGCTGAATTCAAATCACTCCCTTTCATTCATCCATCCATCCATCCTTCGCTCTCTCCTTCTGGGCATCCCTCCATCTCTTCCAGCCCTTCTCACAGAGATGAAATCCACCCTGCAGCTTCTTCCTGAGCGTATATGCATCTAAATGATCGTTTCACTTGAACACATTCCTGTGTTTTCTGCTATGTAGAAACACAGTGTTTCTGTCAGACAGACCAGCTGAACGTATCAGCATCATTTCAGGAATAGAATTTTGCACAAAAGAAGCGCATCATCAATCAGTTCAAACAATGCAAACTAGATTTTTGATGAAAAATCAAATCACTCAGATAATGCCTGCTCTGTGGTGGTCCTGACCACTGAAGAACAGGGTAAAAGGGGGCTAACAAAGTATGCAGAGAAACAGATGAACTACAATCTGTAATTGTAGAACTGAACAATGCGTAAAAATGGTGTAGAAACGAGGTGGTTTTAATGTGATGACTGGTCAGTGTGTGTGTGTGTGTGTGTGTGTATATATATATATATATATATATATATATATATAGGGACATATGTATGACCCACCAGTGAAGCTAATCATAGTTACTCAGAGTGTGTGCGTGTGTGTGTGTGTGTGTGTGTGTGTGTGTGCTTGCGTGTATGTACTGTGGCTTGGACCACTGAAGCGGAACCCTGTGTGTTTTCTGTAAAGTAGCAGATCCTGATTGCTGTGTGTGAGTGAGGGGGGTTCACATGCTGCCTGAGCAGCTTCTCTACCCTCTGCCTAACAACAGAGTGTGTCAGTAGAGCAGTGCACACACACTCTCTCTCTCACACACACACACTGCAGTAATGTCGCTTTTCCACACACAGCAGCATTCTGGTTTGAGATGAGTGGCGTCCATCTGGGCCTCCAGCATCCGACCTTCAACAGGGTCAGAGGGAGAGAGAAAGAGAGAGAGAGAGAGGAAGAGGAAGAGAGAAAGAAGGAGGCATACAGTGTCTCCTATACAGAGATATGCATGTAAATACATAGAGAGTGACATATACATAGAGATATATACATACAGAGAAAGAGACATACATACAGAAAAAAAACATACAGAGAGAGATACAGAAAGATATATACATATATATATATATATATATATATATATATATATATATATATATATATATATAAGGAGACATGCAGAGAGAGAATAATATATTAATATAATAATCCAGGTTATTATAGTATAGCTAATACTAATGTATAATAATTATTGTATCATACTACTAATGTTATAATACTGCAATTAATGTGTAATTATCAAATACTAATGTTGTAGTATCAGTAAATACTCTCATGTGTAATAAATAATGTGAGATATTATAGTATGATCGTTAATAATATTTTAGTATAACATTCAAAGCAGGATCTTTGTTAGAATGTGAGTGAATGTTATTTTTGTCTGTGTGTGTGTGTGTGCACATGTGTCTATGTGTGTGTGTCTGTGTGTCTGTGTGTCTCTGTGCGTGTGTGCGCTTGTTCCATTGATGAAAGCCTTTAGCCTTGGCAGTGTGTGCTGTTGTGCCACACCTATCAAGCCAGACGGCTAACATTCGTCTGTGTGTGTTGATGCCAGCCAGTGTGTACTTGGAATTATGTGTTTAAAAAAAATCAACAAACAACAAACAAATGGCGGGGTGGTTGCCGTGGTAACAGATGGATTGAATGTTTGCAAGGGGAATAGTTTAGTGCAGGGAAAAGAGAGGAGGAGAGGGAAGGAGGGATGGAGTGAGAGACATGGCCTGCGGGCGTACGAGAGAGGGAAGGGGACAGAGAGGGAGAGAGAGAGAGAGATGTGGTATTTTACTGTGTTAATGAAGGTGCTCAGAATAGGAAGAGAAGATAAGAAGTGACGAGAAAAGGAGAAAATAGAAAAGCAGAGAAAGACAATAGGAAAGGGAGAGAAGAGGAGATGAGAAAAGGAAAGAAGACAAGAAAAGAGGAGATGAGAAGAGATGAGAAGAGAAAAGCAAGTAGGAGAAAAAAATGACAGAAAAGGAAGATGGTAGAGGGGAAAATGGGAAGGAAAAGGAGTGGAGGAGTGGATGGGTAGACGAGAGGAGAAAAGAGAGAAGGATAGATGACGAGAAGGGAGGAGAAGAGGCTGTCTTTGACACTCCAGCTGGAAACTACGCTACCGTTCAGAAAATGAGCAGAGGTGTGTGAGAGAGTGTAGCTGTGGACAGATGAAGTTGACTGTGATCTATTTAAAGAGCATTTTAAGAGGAAGAGGGAGAGAGAGAGAGAAAGAGAGAGAGAGAGAAAGAGAGCAGAGAAATGATAAGGTAAACGGTGGAGTCTTTAATGGAATCTGATTGTTGCTCACAGAAATAACCCCCCTCTTTCTGATCCCTCTGCTCTACTAACCTTAGAAACACTCTCTCTCTCTCTCTCTCTCTCTCTCTCTCTCTCTCTAGGTGTGTAACTCTTTCTCCCTGGTGATTTATCGACATTACAGTGTTTCACACAGTAATTTTAGTATAATAATAATAATAATAATAATAATAATAATAATAAAACTTAATAATAATAATAAAACGAAATATTTGGCATGCCTATGTCAATAATATGTAACAATACAAATTACCAACATTCCTTTACCATCCTCAACCAATCAGGTCTGAAGTAAGAGCATCTAATCATTTGATTTTCTCTCTCTTTGGTGCTTTATTGGCATTAGAGATCACACAATACCACATTTCCTTTTCCAAGTATGATACCGATATAAAACCTTGAGTATCAGCTGAGTCTACTGAACTTAAAAAGGAGAATTTTTAAATTGAAACTTTATTTAAGCTTCTAAAAGCATCATGCTGAAACTACTCAAACATTCTGTTACCACACAGTAAGAAGTACACAGCTAACAACAACACAGTGTGACCGTGGGATATTTCAGGATAGATTTATTACTTTATTTATTAGTGTTACCCTTCAGTATACACTCCAGCATTTTCTGCTGCTATCAGCTTGATACCAAGACCCTTTAGTGCTGATATGCTATTCATAATTGGCATGACTGCATTTCATGTGATATATAAAAAAGATGTCTTCCATAATAATAATAATGTTAAACAGTGCCAAAAATAATTAATGATTAAATCATTCTTAAAGTTATTACATTCCTTTATCATCATCACCGAGTGGCGCTGCCAGGAATTCATTTCAGAGGAGTAAGAAATTGCAGTAAATGCAGACTAATCACTGTGTGATCTGTAACCCTAAACTAATAAATGCTCATGTGTTGTGGGTGGATGCCAGACAGTAAGGCAAGGCACGTTTATTTATATTTATATTAGTTTAAACTAATGCCACGGTATATGTATAAAACTATGTACAAAAACAATTAAGTGTTCAGAGCTTAGGTCTTTGAAGGATTGTGTTATGATCTATTTAAGCCCAAAGCATTAATTGAGATAGTAATAAGTTATATATTTGGAAAATCATCATTTATAGGTTACTTTCTACTGGGGAAAAAATAGAAAAAAGTGTTTTTTTAAAGATCCTTTTGATTTATTTTAAAGTGAAGTTGAAAGATTTTGATTTATCATGAGTTGCATAAAAAAAAACATTATAAACATTATAAAAAACATGGTGAGCAGACACATCCCATTATTGTGATGTAAATTTGTCTCAAAAAAAGGAGCCGAGTTTTGGAGTATTGTGTTCATATGTCTGGTTAATATTCTGAATAAGCTGTAGCAGTCCAGTGGATTTTTCTAGGAGGCCAATAAGTAGGCTGTTAAAATGATCTTATTTAACAGTAACGATAATAACAGTAACCTGCTGGAATTAAATGCATGAAGGAGTTTTTCTAAATATTATAAACTCTTTGAATTTTGCTGTTTTTAGGTGATAGAAACGGCTTTGTTTTGGATTTGGTATTGCTGTTAAAGCTCAAGTATGTAAAAATGTGACACTGGAAGCTAATCTGCCAACCTTGCAGTATCAGTACCATTACTGTGCATGAGAAAGAAAATACCTTCACACCGGTATTTTTTTTTTTTTACATATTTGCAAATAATCCTTCATGGCTAGCTTTAAACCTAAAGCTTTCATAGAAAAAAAGGTTTAATTCTGATGGGATAATACTGATTCTTTCAACAGTAGCTCGTAGGCAATAAAATGTGAATAAAGCTAGTGACAGGTTCATTTGATGTCTGCCAAATCCAGTTAACCCAACATCTCAATGCAGAGTGGAATGTGAAACTTGAGTTCTACCGTGTTTTCTCTATCACTATGTACAAGAAGCTCCACACTGTCTGTATTGTTAGAGGCGCTGTCATAGTTTCTGTCATAGCATGCTTGCAGAAATGCAGAACGCAATTTAGGTCAGTAACAGTAAAAAGAACCAATAAAAGCCACGAGAAATGTGAAGTATGTTCATATTCATGCATTTGCTTTAAAAAGATCATTTGTGACAAAATAATAACCTATGACATTTTGGCTTTGCTAAATCATGTTCTTTACATATCAAATAAATGCAACAACAGCACTGAGATGTCATTATTAGGGTAGAAGAGTTGAGTCAATGATAGAAATAGTTCCTTTTTTAAATTGACCTTAAAGAGTTAAATATGCAGGATTGTTTCAGGAAGAATTCATTGACCTTTACAAACATAATTGTAGCACAACTACTGTGAAAAATGACACTATTTTAAATGTTATAGAAGACTTAATTGCTTTATGTGTGCTATGTTTACATCCATACATTTAGAAAAGTCATGAAATATTTCATAGGGGGTTCAAACCCAACATCCATGGCTATACCTGCTTTCAAACATTATAACTGGCATTCAATAGCTCTCTCTTTCTCCTTTTCTGTCTCGCTTTCTCTTACATACCTTCTCTCTCTTTTTCTCTCAGTTCCAGTTGTAAAGATGCTTCCTCAGCGACGGTGGGGAAGGTTCGCGACCTGGCTTCATTCCGTCGTCATTTCCGGATGGGTTTTATGACCATGCCGGCGTCTCAGGACCTGTCCCCCCACTCCTGCGCTGCCGCTATGGCGCCGCGCTCTCAATCTTGCCATGCCGTGGGCGCGGGAGAGGGCGGGAGTCTGGAGAACGGAGACTATCCTGACTCAGACACACAGACGCCCCCTAACCCAGCCCGCTGCCCCCCGGCCAAACCCAAACGTCACCCTAGCACACGCCTTAGCTCCACGCCCCAGCAGGAGCACCCGGCACGGGGCAGCCATGGCCCTCCGGACGCCCCGCCCCCACCACCCCCTCAAAACCCACCAAAACACTCTGAGAAGAAGAACGGTGAGTGGGCTATTACTGTGTGTGGGTGGAGTACTTTATGTGTCCCGTTGTATCATTTTATGATATCACAGTATTAAAGAAACGGTTTGGCAAGTGATTCAGTTTGATCAGTCGAGACATGTTTGGTGTCCGAAGTTTGTTTCTTTAGTTTTGCACTGGAGCTGGGAGGCTTAAGTAGCTAACAAGTAATGAGCAGTTTGTACGATGCTGATTTTTGAGGTAGAAGCTGTCAGTACTTAACTTTCATTCCTCCCATAACTCTCCCTTCATTTCTCTAGCAATGAAGAAGTCTGATTCTGGTGAGATGCCAGGGAGAAAAGTGCCACCACAGAAGCCGAAGCGGAGCCCAAGCACCCAGCTGTCCTTTGATCCCCCACCCCCTCGAGTCCCGCCCCCTGCTACACCCCTGCCATTCCAGAGCGCAGAGCCATCTCCCCATGGTGAAGGCGGGGAAGACGAGCCTGTCTACATTGAGATGGTGGGTCAGGTTTTCACCCGAGAGACCCCTGGTACACAAACGCCACACCCACTTACACCCAGGTATGGCTTTTATTTTTATTATTAGGTTTACCAATAATGATGATGACTTATTTTATTTAAATATATTAACAAAGCACAGTTTACTGTTTTCTAATAAGTAAAAATAAACATAAATGTTAAGTTCAGAGGACTTTGAAACAATGATTATAAAGTTAACAGTGAATGAGTGAGATATCCGTTGGTAGGCTTGACAAAGTCAACTTACTGTTCTTTGTTTTATTATTCTGCGCTTTCTTTGTAACATCACATACAGACTCACATACGTATGAGCACACATATGAAAACGTATATTAGCAACCACCTGGAATACCATAGCAAGGGCCTAGAAACACCTTAACATCCCCCAGATACCAAAGCAGCAGCCTAGCAATGCCTTAGTGACCACCTGGGATTCCATAGCAATGGCCTAGTAATGCCTTAGCAACCACCAGGGGATACCATAGCAACAGCCTTAAAAAGCCTTAGCATCTACCTCGAATTCCATAACAATGGGCTAGCAAAACCCTATTAACCACCTGGGACATCATAGCAACAGCCTAGCAAACCCTCAGCAACCACCTGGGATTTCATATCAATGGCTTTGTCAAGTTTTTTTTTAAAACTTATTATTATTGTTCTTGTTGTTGTTGTTGTTATTAAATGCTGATAACAAGAAATTTCATGTTCTCACCCAGTGCCACCACGCCTGACTCTGACTCAGATCAAGGCGAGGCCATTTATGAGGAGATGAAGTATCCCGTGGCTGAGGATTCGGCTCGGGACGCCCAGCGCCGCCTGCCACCCAAACACAAGTCAGCCAAAGCCTACCACTCTTCCTCCATCAGCTCTTCTTCAGCATCTTCTTCCCTCCCTCGTCCCTCATCCTCCTCTCCCTCCTGCCCTTCTTCCCATTCCAAACCCAAAGCTGCCGTCTCCATCTCCCACTCCTCCCCTCTCCCTTCCTCCTCTTCTGCCTCCTCCACCCCTGTGCCCTCACAGCCCCTTTCCGCCTCACCCCACCCGCCCCGCGCCCCCACCCCATTCCTCCTCCCCGGCACCAAGTCCGAATCGGAGATCGGCAGCACCAGCAAGATCCCGGCGCCGTTTCCCAATCTGCTGCAGCACAAACCACCTCTACTGGCCTTCCCTCAGCCCGCTGCTGCCTCTAGTGGCATTTCAGCGCAGCACAAAAGCAGTTCAGCCAAATCGGGGAGCTCCAGTGGTCAGGCACCCTCGAGCCTGCCTCCAACTACTGGCACGTCCAGCTCCAGCTCCAAGGAGACGTCCGGAGGTGAAAAGGAGAGAGAGAAGGACAGGAAAGACGGTCAGTTAGGTCCAGCGCCGGGCCTTAGAGCAAGGAGCCACTCCACTCCTCTGCCTCCGTCCTCCAAATCTTCCTCGCCCTACTCACATCATAATCACCACCACCACCCTCATCACCGGCCATCGCACTACCATCACTACCGGAAACCTGAGAAAGAGTCATCAAAAGCAAGAGAAGTAAGTTTGCATGGTGTATTGTTAGTAAAATGTTATCACAATATTTGGCCTTTGCGATGCTGATATCACCAAGAACATGAGCACAGTAACAAATCGCTCAGTGTAACAAATCACAACTTATTTATTGTGTCCCTGGCAGCAACCTTTATGGAAGCTGTAAAGAGCTATGACTTTGTTACGTCTCCTTTCTCCACTTTCCTTCAGGGTTCTGGTTGTCAAGACGTAATCATGGCTGGGTCAGCCATGGAAAGACAGTATGAATAACCATAACATTAGCTAGATTAGCACTAATATTAATTAGCAGTAGCATGGTAGGAATAACAGATAACTTGCTAAGTAGCTAGCTATATAGATAACATACTGTGCCACCTATTTAGCAAGTTAACTAATGTTACCTGATGTAAATATGATGGCTGTTTAAGTCATACCCCAAGTCTGAATAACCTCAACTTTAGCTAGACTAGCACTAACAATAAGTTACCAATAGCATGGTAGAAATAACAGATAGCTAGCCAAGTAGCTATCTAACCTAGCTAGCTGCAAGATTAGCTAGAAGAACAAAACTGCTACCTAACCAGTAAGTAAGCTAATGAAAATATGATGTTTTAAACTGTTCCCTGAGTTTATACTAATGTCACAACGTGACACTTTATGGTAGGATGGTATTCCTAATGCTACATGACACCTACATAAGCCTTTGTTGACTGCTGACATAAACCTACATCAACATGTATTAAGCCTTATTCCAGCAGGCACAGTCGTTATAAAGGCTGTTAATGTCATTTCATCCATGAACGTACTATGACAACTGATGCTTGTTGGAATAAGCCCTTATAAATGTTCATATAGTTATATGTTATTAGTCATTAAAGGCTTATGTAGGTGTCATGTAGCCTTATGAACACTGCCCACTGGTAAAGTGTTACCCTTAAATGTCTTCTTTACTCTGACCTACTTATAAATCATCCAAATGACACAGAATAAAGTACCAGATTATAATGGTGTTGCTCTTTACTGAATCAAGGTGTCCATGTGATTCGTATTCAGTCAAAATAATGCATCTTTAATAGTGTCAAGTCAAGGGTTCACCAATGCATTTTTATCATATTGTAAGGTGTATCACAATCGCAGTATGTAAGAATGTAACGTTTTGTTTGTATTGCGCAGGCCTACCGAGAAGGAGGCCCCTCGCAGGCCTCAGCTCAGACCCAGACGCAGGCCAAGGAGGGCAAGTCTGTCAGTTTCCTGCTCAAGTCAGACAAATTGGAGAGAGAGAGGGACCGGGAGAGGGACAGAGACAGAGACAGAGACACACCAGAGTCCAGCCAGGCTGAGTCAGCCACACACACGTCCCACACCGGCACTAGCACCACGCCAACCCCCAGCCTTTCTCTTGCGGCATCATCATCCTCCTCGTCATCGGTGACGCCGTCCACCTCTTCCTCCTCCCAGAGGCCCCATTCTCGGCCCCACCTGCAGCGCTCCCACACCCCCCACCTACCCGCCTACAAACCGCCACCGTCTGACAGCCCCCTGCTCTGGACCTACCCTTCCGTTGGCTTCCGGCGGCCCCCAGCCTATGACAGCCTGCGTGGGGGTCCACAGCTTCCCACTCTGCAGCAGCCAGATGGTGGGGCCAAGGGCGGAGCTGCAGCCACACAGGCCCAGCAGCAAGCCAAGGCAGGGTTTCTGCCCTGGGACAGCAGTCTGAGCATCGATGAGCAGGCCTACTGGCCCATGCACAGGAAACTGTCCTTCAGCCACAGCAGCAGAGAATCAGAGAGTAAGAGATATAAGAGATCTGTATTTATATGTTTGTTAGCCTCTGAGTGATTTGGCAGATTTTCGATCTCCAGTTTGGCACTTGATAGATTTATTTCCATAAGACAGTGGGATTTCATCATGAGGTGCTCTTTGTCACAGATCTGTCCGGAGGAAAAAATTTTGTGTAGTGTTTGAGCCTCATTTGTAATCACTCACATAGTGTGTACACAACTGGACAACAAACAACAGGTTAAAGGTGACAAATGTTGTGTGGTGTCCACTAGATGTTACACATTCATCCCTGTGAGCTGCAGTGTGAGCTCATTGATATGCAGGGAAAACACAAGGAGAAGTGATATTGTTCATTCTTAATTTTAGTTTAATGTTTAGCCTTCATGAGAAGTTTTCACACAGTCGTTTTTTAGTGATGAAAACAGCAGATATAATTTTATCACACTGAAACCTTCATATTAAGTCCGATGTGCTTTTGATTTTAACTTTGACTCTGAACATATGAGTCATAATTTTTTTTACACTGTAAAAAATGGTTCAGTACAATGCAAGTTTAAATTCATTCAGCTTCTGATAGTAAGTTAACAGAACAGTAATCTGTGCTTTACATTCTGTTCACTTATTATTTGAAGTTCAGTAAGTGCAAAATTTTAAGACGACCAGGTTACTTACTTTTTTACGTTAAAACGCTGAATCATTTTTTACAGTGTAGACAAGGTGACCTAAAGACACAGACACTGGCTGTTAGTCCATTCTGGTATTAAAAAAAGTAACTCTCACAGGAGCTCTAAAGACCTGATCGAGGCTCTACAGCAGTGCTCTGTATGTGTGCACAGTGGAGTTTAAGGTTCTGCTTCAGGTCTGATCAGGTCTGGGCACTAAAATCATCCAACAGAACAAACTATAGGAGCTACCATGAGCACTGAAGTGAAATATGGCATTAGCGTTAATGTGTTTTCAACGGCTTTTTGTTCCTTTGGTGTGGCCCAATGGGTTTGCAGCCTTTCTGGCAGAAATGGAAATTGTCCTAGATATGTTTAAAATGTAGATATTAAATACTTGCAGCTTTAAATAATCAAAGTAGTGATTTTTTTTGCTAATTTTGTCCCAATTTATTGAATTTCCTTGCACAGATTGGTGATTTCCCTGTGCTAACACTCCAAGAATTAGGTGTGTTTGAACAGGAAAATCACCAGACTATGCAGGAATTCAGCCCCCCACCGATGTTATAGGGCGACAAACTGTGTCCATCCTTCTGAAATACAGCAGGGATGCAAAACTGCAGTGCCGGAGAGCCATAGCAACAGCAAGTGCTTTAGGACTTCCCCTGATTGAACGCACACCTGACTTGCTAATGAAGTCCTCGATAATGAACTGATGAGTTGATGAGTTGAGTCAGGTTTGTTAACGCTGAAGGGCTGAAACATGCAGCTCTGCAAGCCTTATTTGTCACTGTTTGACAATGAGACAGAGAAAAATCGGAAGTGAAAATTCAAAGACCTTAATGAAAAATATAAATCAAAACAAAAACAATTGTCTATTACTGTGTAATTAATGTGATTAAATATAATTATATTTAAGTAGAAGAGCAAAACAACACGATTGCCGTATTTCTAAGGTTAAACCAATATGGAGTGCTGCTTTCCTGACATTTTTAATCTGTTTTTTGGAAATAACCTCTTAACCTAGATCATTCTCTCTCTCTCTCTCTCTCTCTCTCTCTCTCTCCCTCTCTCTCTCCCTCTCACTCCCTCCCTCTCTCTCTCTCTCTCTGTAGAGGAGGATGGTCGTGTGTGGAACGGCAGCACTGACGCTCTGTTGAGAAGAGACAGAGAGGACGTTGGGGTCGGGGTCCGGGGCACAGGGCACTCTGGGATACCCGTGCGGGCATCAAGCAGAATCGGGCACAGCGAGAGCCTGGCGGGGGCGGACGGACCCCCGGGGTTCAGGGCCCTGCCCCGAGCAGGACTGCCCCTGCCCTGCCAAACCTTCCCCGCCTGCCGAAACGGAGGTGAGCTCACTTTACCAGCCCAAATAAACCCACCTAAATTCACATCTTGGTAGTGTATAAATGACAGCATTGATTGATGCCTTTAGGTTCAAGGATGTGTCGAGTGACATCTGGAGCTCAGTGCATTAGAGCTTATAAGAGTTTAATGAGTCACTAATGCTTCATGCAGTTATAGAACCGTTGACTGCCAAAAATTGCAGATCTCAGTTCACTTCTAAATGAGCCCTGGTTCAGACTGTATTTTTATGTTTAATATTTTTACATTGTTTTAACATCAGAGCATGCTTTTCTCTTCTTCTAGCAGCATGTCATCATTGTTCAGTTGCATAATCTGCCTGTTTTAACATTTGACCCGTCATAGACGCACATATTGTTCCCGCAGCGCATATGGTGAAGACATGCTTTTGATTTTGGCACATAGATCATGAAACACAGTTTTTGTCCAGGTGTCTACAGCCTGATTGAATTGTCAGTTTGAATTTAAGCAATCAAAAAGAAGCAGATATCAAGTGGGGTTTATTATTATTGCTTTGACTTTGATTCACATAGACCAGTGGTCGGCAACATGCGGCTCTTTTACTGCCCTGTTGCTGCTTCACAGCAGAATTAGATTTTTAGGTAAAAATAAAATAATCCTGCTCTGCAATAAAATAAAGCACCGCTGATTGTTCTAACACAGTTTTAACAGTAAATGGTCTTTAAATGATGGAGCTATTGTGTAACGTCTAATTCATCCTTTAACCCCGAAGGCTGGTCACCATAGCAACGACAACGATCTGGCCTAGCTAGTAGCTAACGAAAAGGCAAAAAAAAAGAAAAAGTGGATTAATGGACTTATTTGCATTTACAGCACTCAGCTGGTTTTCTGAAATGTTTAATCTGCAACGAGAAACTGACGTCAGAAGTTGACATCACTAAAAAGTTGCGAAGCTGAAGTCAGCTTGTCATTCACCAGCTTCTTGTTCAGATGTTTCTGTTCCACCTCAAATAGTGCAGCAGTTCTGGCGCTTCAGGCACCATTTAAGGTGGAACGGGAAAATTCACACAAGAAGCTGGCAAATCAGAAGTGACTTCAGCTTCATAAAAAGTCAACATTTTGCAAGAAACTGTTCCAATTTTGCAAAAAAGTTTTCTGCTGGAGATGCAAGAAAAGTGGCTATAGCTGAGCTAAAGCTTAAAGCAGAGCAAAGTAAGTCTGCATTTTCATTTATATTAGATTTTTAGCCTATACTAGTCTTACTGAGACATGTTTACAGCCAAGATGATACAATGAACATCTTGTGGCTCCCAAGGTGGTTTTATATTTTAGTTGAAAGGACAAAATGGCTCTTCTTAACATTTGGGTTACCAACCCCTGACATAGACATTAAGCGTCTCTGTTTTCTGTTTTTCTGTGTTCACTGTGTCCACTGCGAGTAAGAGTGCTTGTATCCTTGTCAGTTTTCTGACCAATAGACAAACACCTACGTGTAGTATTTGGTGCACTTGATCCGTTGCAGTGTGCAACCAACTGAACCAAATGAAAAAGAAACAGTATCACAAAAACCCAAACTCTGGTTCGAAGACAAACTAGCAGTGAAAACTGCCTAAACCGCACTTTATAATATGGAGCACATGTTGAAGTATGAGTGACATATTAAACTCTTATCAGCTCTAAAGTAATAAAGTGGAATAAAATACATCAGCTTGTCACTTTTTAGATGATAATTCAAGCTTAATAATTTGCATAACACCTCCTTAACAAAGTGTTTGTTGTACATTATTATAACTAATAATGCAGTGAGTTTTATATAATAGACCCTCAGTTATGTACTAACACAGATCATAACGAGTCAATTTTAATGCATGATGTAAAAAACATTTAAAAGTGTTTAATTTGGGCTTCACTGAACAAAGAACAATATTTTCATAAAACCCCAATAACCTTACAAAACATCCTTCTTCTCCTATCTATATGCCTCACGTTGTATTCACTGCATAATTTGTAGT